GCCCCCGCGTACTCGTATTCTTTCACTCGTTCCAATTTTTAAATTGGCGTACTTTGTTGAAAGAGGAAATAATAATAAAGAAAAGAGAAAAGAGATTGAAAGGATTGCAGCTAGCTCTGTGCGCGCGTGTGTGTGTGAAGGTAAATATGCGTGCGTGCGAGCGTGTGTACAATATATATATTAGTGAATCATTAGGTATAGAACGATGGGTGTGTGTGTGTGTGTGTGTCTAGATTCAGTTGGGAATTTCAGCCTCGGTGACGATGATATTATTATTACTTTTTATTAACGGTAATGAGAGAGGACGATGACGAAGAGACAGAAGCTTTGCAAAAAAGAGAGAAAGAGATAGAGATAAAGGAAGATATTAATGAAAGAAGGCGACGAACGAGAATCGAGCTAAAAAGTATATGCTCAGCGATGCGATATGCGCCGCTCTTTGGCTCGAACTCGACGTATAATAATGCGCTCGCTGCTGCTACTCTCTATAATATGACATCTATACGGGTAAAAAGCCCAGCTATGAAAAGCAATGATACATTATGAGAATAAGCTATATGCTGTTTTATGTGTATGTACGCACTGTACCGAGCGTACCGAGAGTCACAGAGAGAAACACATTACAGTAGCACGCGTGATCGCGAAAAGAAAAGGAATACATACCTACGTGTATATGGGCACTCGGTGATAGAAAAAAAAACAACACACAGGCAGCCAAAAATTCCCAAGTGTTGCGTTTACAGAAAGGGGTTTTTTTATATTTAGATATATGTAAACCTTCTTCGAGTACAAGCAACTTGTCTGTTTCGTTTCTCTCTCTTTTTCTCCTTCTCCGTATAGCCCGGTACGACTCGTTTCGAGCGCAGAGCATAATATGCAGGCACGATTCTTTGAGTTTGAGCAACGCGCCGTAAATCGCATTCTTGTATGTGTGTGTGTGTGTATGTGCCCGCGCGCGAAACTCTCTATCTTTTTCTCGGGCCTCTTTTGTATTATTAGCTTCATAGCGCCCTTTTTTTGCCATCATCAGCTTGATGACAACGACTACGACTGCCTTGTAATAATACGAAAAAGATGACAAAATGCGCGTGCTTCCCTTTAGACATGTCTTACTGTACGTGTATGCAAATTTTTTCTCTTTAACGTAGCGTATCAACACATTTTTTATTATTTTTTTGGGGGCTTCTTCTCCGAGGTGCATCTTCTTTTCGTTGCGCATTAATTAGTAAAAAAATATATATGCACGAGATCGATTGAATACCCCCGTGCATACAATGGTATATGCGACTTTGAAGTTCGTGCGTTCGTGCGTTTTAACAAACGAAAATGAGCGACAATGAAGTAATTCCTTCTTCTCCTTTCTTTTTTTTTTCAATTTCACCGAGAGCCTATATGTACATACGCGCTCATAAATGAGTCTTTCCAAGTGGAAAGGGCCGCGCACAATTTTTACACGCATTATACACGATAGGCGAACGTAAAATATCATTTATGATGGATGACGCATTTTAAAGCTCGCCTCGAGCCTCTGGTAATGCTCGTTCATACAATATAGCAGATAGATATTATACATACAATGTGGGTGAAGACAAAAAAAAAGTTGTAATACGTTGCGCGCGCGGCTCTCTGCCCGAATAGAACTTTAATATAGAAAATTGAAGTGTGTAGTACAGCTCGCATATGCATTATACGCACGTTAAGGTATAGGAGCATACGTACAGAGCGTGACCCTTGAAAATCATATCCATTAATACAATAACTTCGAAATTATAGATCAGCAGGCGCACACGTTGGTTGTATGGTCGGGCGCAGCGAGGCCCCCTCCTTTCATTCTCTCTTTTCAATTAAATATGAACCACGCGCGCGCATATAGAGAAGGTACTTATATGCCACATGTCTGCGTGCGCGTGGTGGAGCCCGAAGCAAAAGATTCAGCTCCTCGCGCGCCGGCAGAGATCCGCATTATAACTAGCTCACGGCGGGCTGTGTAGTAGTAGGCAGCCGATCGAATATGCTCGTAACGTTATAAGCGTGATATTAAAATGGGAGCACTTATGGTTTGGCAATTGGCAGTAAAAAATAAGGGATGAGTTGGCCGGCGTATGTGTATGGCCTCGAGGATCGAAATGACAATTTGATCCATTAGAGATTAGAGTCGCACGCAAAACTGCTGAGCAGGAAACCGGCCTGCATCGCTAACCGGAGAACTCGAAGAAAATAATTGTTGCATCTGCGCTCTGGACGGTAGCCATATGGGTGCATATAACAGAAGTCGATCGAAGAGTCGCCGCTAGCGCAATTCATAAATGGGGATGGTAGGGTATAGAGCAATTCTCATTCTTAATATCATCGATGATCCTTCAAGAGCGAGTCCTTGCTACTCATCGAGAAAGTGCCGTACTCTTGAGTCCAACCATCCCAATATAATATTCGATCGTGTCTGTCGCGCGTCTCAGCTTCGTATGTCGACAAAATCGTGAATTAATTTTTGCCGCCGCAGTGTGTGTGTGTGCTGTGTCGCTACGTCGCGCGGTATTGGGGCCAGAGTCTGTGCATTTTCTGCCTTGCTTCGCGCTCTATATACGATCTATATACGAGTATAGAGTGATCTCTTCTCAGCCACCAGCAGCGAGTTGCTACACACTATATACAATACATATAAGTATAGTGGAGCACCGAGCGCGCAAGACTATAATACATTTTTTATCTGATCGAGGGGATCTTTATGGAGGGTGGCTCGCACTGTGCTCGTGCGCGCTCGTATGACGAGCTTTTTCTCCTTTCTTCAGGAGAGCTGCGAGCTGTGTATGTGTGTGTGTGCGAGCGCGGTGGTAACCTAAATGTGTATTGTACGTGTGCAACGCCATTGCCGAGAGTGTATATCTCGTTGCTCTTTTTTTTCATCTCCTTTATCCTATATAATACACGTCAAGTATCTCATTTTCGTTAAACCAACACTTGTATGCTGTATACTTATTCGTATATCCATCCTGCCCTCCCTCTTTCTCTCGCTCTATCTCACTCGCTTTTTTTCTTCTCGCTTTGCGTCAGCTAATTTTTATTGCAAGCCCATAGATCGAGGTCGAAATTGAAAATTAAAGATATATATATGTAAAGAAAACTTAGTTTCTTTAATGTATAATTGAGGCGCTGTATCAGTTGTGCGCGCCTCATATAAGTTTGTAAATATTATCCGTATGAGTGTGTAAGACGAATGAGTCTGAATTGTCAGTTGTACACATGTGTTTAAAGAGAGTGGTCAATTAGCTTTAATTGTCGTTTCTCGTATTTCAGGTAAGAGAGGTTTATAATTGTAAATATAGTTTTAAGAATTATTAATAAACCTCAACTCGTATTTCAGAAACAAAATTTAGTTAATTGCTCACACACCCCCCCCTCTCTCATAGTGGATCTCACTCGTGTCTTATATATATACGTCTATTTACAAAGCTTCTCTTCGAGCATTTTATTTCGTCTTGAAGCGATATCGCCCTGTCCGATCGTATTATATTATATATGAGGGATTCTCCGATACAATCGCTCATCTTGTTGCTTCGTTATAGAGGGGAAGGTAGAGGGTAATAACGCGATATACTTTATTCCAATAAAGATCGGGAAAGAAATAGACTCGATCGGTTTCTCATCGATTGGCATTTCAATATCATCAGCTTCGCAAAATTGAAGAGAAAGATCTCGCGGTGACACGACGCGACAAAAAATCGAATAAATTTGACACCCGATTCGTATTATTATATTATACCTTTTATAATATGGCACAAAGAATGCTGAAACGCTCTGTATTTTTTATATAAAATATGCATACGAGCAACATGATATACACCCTTTCTCGTTTGGATCTATTTCTCCCCGTAATATATACGTGTCTTCTCTAGCTCGCGTTCGCCAAGACTTATCTACCTACACACGTATACGTATGAGCGTTCGTACACGCGCACACACACGTACACTATAGACACGCGCGCCCCGAGTAAATTGAACCGATGGTCAGAAGGAGTATAGGGTCCCGAAGGGGGTGTCGCTTGCTGCTGCTGCTGTGCGCGTGTGCGTATATAAAGAGAAAGCGAGGGCGGCGCGGGGATTGAAAAGCAATTTTCCTCGAGAGCGGAGGAACGGGCGGTCGGGCGGCTGAGTGCGCGACATATGAGGTATATATGCGCAGAAGTATACGCGAGAGAGAAAGAGAGAGAGCCCCAGCAGCAGCACAAGCTTTATATTAATGATCCAGATATATTATCGGACGTGACCGAAATTGCTGTCAAAAAACTCTCGGATATTAGATCGAAAGAGAGAAGAACGAAAGAAGGAGCGGACGGAGAAGAAAAAGAAGATTGCGAGATGTTGCCCGCCGTCGCGACCTCTTCCTCTCTCGCGCGCGCTATACACCGGCTTTCCATCTTTCTTTCTTCCTTTTTTTTTATTTTTTTCTCCCCATTTTTGCGTGTTCTTCTTCTCTGCCTCTTTTTTACTTATACATACATATACACACACACGAGTTACATCGCTGCCTGCTATCTGTCGCGCATAAATTCTGCGATACTGTGCGCGCGACTCGACGGCGCAGAGCAACGCGTCCACGATCGATCCAAAAAGGGATAATGCCCTTATCGTTCTTTACATTGAAATTTTCAGCCTCGAATGAACAAAAAATTATTTTCGTATTGCGAGACGATTCGATGCGGGTACATTTCGCGTATGTCTGTTGAAATGTGATAAACACGTTCTCGCGAACAATGTAGGTCGACCAACGTACATCGCGAAAGGCATTTTTAACGCAAACGGCGAAACGATGAGAAAATTTTGCGTAAATATACGTGTACGCGATAAAAAAGTATGTAGGTTTTTCTTGAACATTTATGACTCGAATATGCGCTCGAGCTCTGATAACTTTTTATCTATACACGCAGTTCTTTTGCATGTAAGTTGAAAAATTGTCATTAAAATTTATATCTAAATCGTGTTATTTTTTTAAATGATTTCAGACGCGATGCCGCCAACCGACGTATCTGTGAACGAGGACATCGTTTGAGACTTACAGTGGTAAGTGAATAATTTCTCGAATCTCACGAGCCGAGCTCAAAAAATCACCATGTACTTTCCGCGTAGCTCCGGCAAATTTTAATAAACGCCTTATAGTGGCCTTAAAATATCAGGATTATACGCATTTATATTATATATATAAGATATATTAAACACGTGTAAACCAAGGCACACTTGCAGAAGGGAAATTGAATTTCATTGCTTTTCATTTTGGTTGGGTATGCCACGTATATAAGCCGGCTATATTATGTGTCGTGTAAAAGGGCCTCTCTCTCGTTCTCTTGCCGCGCGAGCGTAGCAGAGACACGCGGCAATCTTTCTACGTGTTGCCAACTTAGCAATGGAAAATGAAGAGATGGAATTTAATTTCCTTTCTGCCGCGAGTATATATATATAAATGCTCGCGCGCGCGCGCGTTACTTATGCCCTGTGTGACGCGAGCTGCGCGACGGCGAAACTCCATTAGCCGTGAAGACACCGGGAGTATCTAAAGTCCTTTTAAATGTCATCGTCCCTATGAAGTTATTATAATATATATAAACACGCGGGTATAATATTAGGAATACTCGAGCTGAAAAAATAAACTTTTTCTTTAGAGCTTTGCGAGATTCTCGTTGGCGGTCATAGCTACCCGCTTGCTCCTATAATCGTTTTCTGCTTTTGCGTTTTTTTTTGTACTTTTGATGAGGTGAACACGCTACGATTATCATGAATGGATGGAAAAAAGCAGTATAGTGCAGTTATTGTCAATGTACACCTTTTTTTCCTTGCCTGTGATCGACATGCGCCCGAATAGGCATACTTTCACATCGCGCTACTAACAACGTACGCGCTTTTTTCCCTCTTACTAAGCGCGCAATGAGCTAAATAAGCATCGCGAATTCGACTGCCTCGATTTCTTTATAAATTCGGACAAGTTTCCTTTACCTCTCGAGTAAGCTGGTTAGATTAGAATTCGACCTCATTGTGCGTGCGGCTGCTTTGACTTTTTCATATGGACGTGTATATAGCTGGATCATTCGTTAAACCAAACGGCAATTTTAGGGACCATTTAAATGGGACGTCTTTAGCGTGGCCGCAATATTATGCGGAGTAGCGAAGGGAGAAAGAGAGAGATGGTCTGGCCGTGTATACATCTCGTACGTTAATAAATGGTAGAGAGAACTGGTATACTTGTACAGGAGTCGCTCGTAAGTGTGAGTGCTCTATTTTTAAATCATTTGAATAGCCTACAATTTGATGTTTATGAATCATAAATTCATTCGCCACTCGTCACAGTGGTCAAACGAATGATTTTTTCAAATTATGCGTAGCTATGGTAAATTATCAATATTGTACATAATAAAAATGTGATTCATTGTGAAGAATAACATTGAAATCACAACAAATATTTTCTTATATTCTTGCTAATTTTAATATTGAATTTACTTTACATTTTATAATTTTACATAGCAAAAGATTTACACTAGGAAAAATTATGCCGTAGTATTTAATTTTGAAATATTAATTACATTAATTAAAGTAATAGTCATAATGCACAATACATTTCTTTACTATAACAAGTTAAATTTACATTTCATGTTGTATAATTTGTCGTGGCCTGTAAGATCGTTACACTTGCGGAATATCATAAGTGAGGTTAGTATGCGAGAAAAGTAAAACTTTCGACTAAAAGAAAAGAATGTGCGAAGGTTCGTTAATCTCTTAGCTAATATATTTTATGGTTAGCTCACCGATCCTAGATGTCGTATCGCCAACCACCAAGCGGTCAAATCTATTTCTCTTGATATATTGTAGCTCAGATGACAGATTAGTATAAGTTATTAGATATCAGTATAAGTTACTAAGGAATATCATATTTAAGAATTAAAGGGAGTCCATAGATATCTCAATAACCCTTATTAATTTTTCCAAGTTAACTCCTAACTTGTTAAATTACCAACGCTTTTTTTCTTAATCGAATTACATATCATTGCGTCTATCGCGGTGCAAGCCAAAAATGTTAATTTTCGAACTTAAAAAAAAATTTTGTCAGCTTAATCCGTCAGAATAAACATTTAGTTAGTGCTCAATTTTTGGTTTCTATGATAGCTGCAGCAATATAGTCAATATGTAAGTCAAGTGCACGTGTGTACATACGGGCCAAACAGCGATACGTGCGAGTACGTGTATGTGCGCAGGGATCGTTAGGCAGGATAGGTCTCGACTCGTAAAACATGTATGCATGTATACGTATGTATACATATAGATAAATATGGCTGGAAAGCGAGTGTATGTGGCCTGATTGCGCTGAATACGAGAACGAACACGAAGAAAGACCCCTCGGCGCTGATTGACACTTGTTCTTGTATGTGCCCGACGAGCTGCGCGCTGCACGTGCCCTGCTGCCGCCGCCGCCGCCGCCACCCGCGTCTTAACTTATATCCTCCCTTCCTCCCCCGGCGATTCCCGCTTGTGTGTACGCGTCGTCGTTGCGGACGTTGATTATCAACCGTGTCGATGTTGTATACGTGTATGCGAATGTTGATTTCCACTTCTTCGACGAGTCTTTATTCTTTCCTCGTTTATTATTATTTTTTTTTTTTTGCAACGACTCGTTAAATTTACCGAAGTTGAACGAGGACGGCACGCTGGGTCAAAGGAACTTACAAAGCTCGATGTAAATAACCAAAGTCGAAGCTCAACCCGCGGTTGAGATTATCTTTCCTTGATTTCATCGGACCGTTTATCCTCGTTAAATGTTGATACACATTTATACACGATTGTGTCATTAGAAGAGAGCAAGGTAAAAATGCAAAATAAATTACAGCCAGAAAATGAAGAATAAAATGTAGGTGAAAGTCTATGGAGTCGCGCATTGGGGGGATATAAATGCGATAATGAAGCACAAAAAAGAGTCTAGTAATCGCTGGCCCAACAATAGCATCGAAATCGACCGTAAGAGCTTTAGCACGTATGTAGTCGAGCGTCGATAAATCATCGCTCCCAAAGACAGACCTCTCGTTGAGCGATTCCTTCTTGGCTTTTCCCTGCAGTACAGATCACGCCGTCATTTGCGCAATGCACACACATTGTGCAGTGGCACACAGCACGACACGCATTACACGTACATATAACGCACTCACGCACACGCGCGCGTACAGTATCCAGAAAGCCGTCGGAAGCAACATCAGCGGTAGCATTAGACCTGCAGCATGTATATATTACGTGTATAGGTATGTACAGGCACGAGAGAGAGAGAGTGAGAGAGTGAGAGAGGTTCTATAGGTTGACGAGATGGCTGCAGAGCTGCTGGTGGCATGGGTGTAGAGAAGCCGGCGGTAACAGCGCGCGGCAGCAGCTCGAGAGACGCTGTACTTAGTTAACGGACAATGCGGTCCCTAACGAACACGAGCGAGCGAGCGGGCGCGCGGGCGCGAGGAGAGCACACATACATAGCTCTGCCTACGTAGGGATCTATCTATCTATATACGTATATATGCAGAGTGTGCAGCAGCAGCAGCAGCAGCAGCAGCAGCAGCAGCAGCAGTACGGAGGTAGAGACAGGAGCGCCCGCAGACGGACGGATTACGTTGCGTCGTTAACTGCAGCGGCAGAACAGAGCACAAGATGATGACTACGACGACGTCGACGACGACGACGACTACGACTACGACGGCCCAGCGTGTATAACTATATGTACGAAGCAGCAGCGCGCGCGGCTGGTTTTGATTAATTTATCGGAGGGATTGCGGTTGTCAGGAGGCTCCGCTCGCAAGCTCGTACAGTCTATGTGCGCGCGGGTGTACGCGTGTATGTGTGCGTGTGTGTGTGTCCTAGCTCTGGGATTCGCCACTTGAGATGAAGCTGCTGCTAGGCTACGTGTGTATATGTATATTGCGAGACGCGTTACATGCGTATTGTAATACGTTTTAGACCTTTTGTCGGATACGAGCTCAAATTGGAAATTTCGAGGCGACGCAGATCTGCGCGATAATTGAAGAGTCTTGATGAAAATGATTCCCGGCTATGAAGTGAGTGGGAGAGAGATGTATAGACTTGTTAATATGATAAACTTTTGGTTTTTTGCAATAAAATCGAAATATACCCTGCTCTAAATGCTCAACACATGCATTTTTTTACTCAGAAAAATTTTGAAAATTACGATTCAAACACACTTTCAATATTTGAGGATTGAACTGTAAAAATTGAATGGTGGTCTCTTGTTAGATTAATGAAACAGCGCTTTGACTTATACTATTATTTTCACTTTGTCACTTGCAGGTTTACAGATTAGGATACTGGCCATCTAGCGGTGTCGACTTGAAATGATATTATTCGATCTAAAGGAATTGAAAACTGGTCTAAGTTTTTTGAAACAGTTGAATCGTCATTTTCAAGTCATTTCAAAGGCATTTAATATTTTAAACATAATTATAACAAAATAATCGCCAAAAACAAGCGAAGTAATGGTTATGTATTTTAAAATATTTTAAACGGTCATTTTTTGGGTTATTACGACATTAATATTTTTTCGTATTTCTACCGGGGTATAGTCAAAATCATTTTTGAACTATACAAGAAAATTATTACAATTTTTTTGATGTAATAATGTAAAATATTGTGATCAATAACATAAACTTTTGCTCTAACTAAAAAATATACACCTGCAACTACAAGTTTTGTTTAAAAACATATTTGGAAACTTATCATCCACTTCGCAGAACTCGAATGACGAAAGCTCTTATATGATAATTCCATGGGAAAAGGTAAAATGGAATACAAAAATGCAATTGATAAAACCGACAGGTCTACTCGAGTGAATTTCCAAATTATGCATGACGCTATATAGTTAAAATATATGTATTTCCACGGAGAAAAAGAGAGTCAGCTATACGTAATTTTCGTGGTTAAAGGTTTCATAGTATAGTTCTCCTTTTCACCGAAATGGGATTGTGGTCACTTAAAAAGTCTACTGCTCGTTTTGTAAGCTCGTTACTCTGATTGGAATGAAATATGGA